TTCGTCGTCCAGGTCTTCCACATCGAGCGGTCTTCCTTTCTCGATGGCAAGTTTCTCAAAGTCTACTGACAATCCTCCCATACTTGATTCTCTTTCCATTGAAGTCCCGCCAATGCTAGCCTCTGAGTAGATCGAACTTATCGCAGAGGATGGGTCAGGTGTCCCACCTTGCCTGCCATGCATGGCGAACGAAAGAGCCGAGTAGGTGGACGACGAAGCAGACCCGGGAACACTGGCAGCATGGAAACTATCCCCCCTCGGCCTGCTGATGGCTTCATTTCCTGTCACCGCGGATATATTCAAAGGGTGTATCTGTGGTCTTAGATTGGTCCCTCCTTCTTGCACCGAGCCGAGACTTCCCATCGGTGTAGCGAGAGATAGTTTTGGTGGTCCCTTTGATCCAGCTGCGGCGAGGCTGAAGCGGGGGACTTCGGCAGCAGGCTCTCCTTCTCCGGTCACTGGTCGTTGGTTGGGTGAAGGGGGGATTCCCAATGTCAAACGAGGAGTCCGGCTACCGCTTGAGCTTCGTGCACCAGGGACAGGCGGCCGCAGAAGCGGCACCGGAGAAGACATTCTTCGTTATCGGGTGTGCTCAGGGTAGGATGGAAGGGTGATGCTCTGCGGAAGGCGGCAGAGCAATTGAAGGTACTGTCAGGATTTCCAAGATTTTGTAGAGCTTTCTCTTTCTAATAAGCAGGTCCAGCCTAACTCGAGGACTCGGTAGTAAGAGGGGTTGTTGAAGTTATGGTGGCGGAATGCTGCAGCGGGTGGAGGCAAATTTGTTGTGTTCTTTGGCCCGTTGCACGACGGTGCAGTCGAGGTTCAGACGCAGCCGCAGGGTCCAGATTGTGCCTTGCAATCCGAGTACCTCTTCGATAGGTACACACGAGTGGGAGATATATGGTGTCTCGGGCTGCACGCTTCGGTCAGGCAAGGCAAGGCAAAGCAAGGCAATGTCTGGGTGGCAGGTAGCTGGTGGTATTGGAGATAGAGGGTTATTGTTGCATGGAAGTAATCATGCGCCTGAAGGGCTGAAAGAGTACCAGGTAATGGATTTGCATTTGATTTTGCTGACTGCCCACGCCCAGCAGAGCCAGACCCTTGAGGCCACGAGGACGACGGGTAGACGTCAAGCGTGGTTTGCCGGACGAGGGCCAAGTCAACCGGGTCTGGCGATGGTGGATTGTTGATCTGCAACGGGCGGCTACCTGAAACACTAGGGAACGAGATGCACAGGACCAGCGCGGCAGAGAGCTACGCTTCGAGCAACCTGTTGAGTCAACTATTATCACCTCTTGTTTGCTGTTTTCCACATGCCCACGGTAATTCCAAAGTCCACAATACAAACGGCCGAAGCGCAAGGTCAACCTTCGACAGTCTGCGAGGGCGAATGTCTCTCCACCCTCAAGACCCAGTCATGCATTCACTCATCTACAATATTACGACTCTCTTTTCAGCTGTCCCCTCTGGGCATGCATGGAGCATTGACTGGCCTCCCATCTGACAGCCTGCAGCGGGCGTTGTGGGAACCAGGTCCCTTACCTACCCCTCGATCCCTGCCACCCCTGCCAGCACGGCGGCCATCACTACTGTACCTACTTGCAGGCCTGTTCCAGGATTGGCCATCGAGACAGTTTAAACAACAGGGGTTCTGAAGCGCCTGGGCCAGAAAGATGCAGCAGTAGCGGCAGCTGCGGCGTCCGGGCATCAGCAGGAACTTTGACACAACCTCATTTGAGCCCTGGTTAGCCTATGGTGCCAGGAACTGCTGTTGATTCCCACATACCGCCCCTCTGGGGCTGACTTGTCTCATCCCCGCCTGTCAGAGGCTGTGAACATGCGGTGACCAATCTACGAGTCACTCACCTCGAGCAAATCAACATTTGGCGTCGGTGGTACTGACAGGTGGGTGCATTTGGGATCGAAGTTATCCAACAAGATATTACAAAATAAAAAGTCTCTAATTAAGCGAGGTTTGCAAGAAAAGTTTTCTTTGTTGGATTCATTCGAAGTAGCGAGGCCTTTGCGTCCTCTGGTTTGATACGCTCATTCTTTTCGACTGGCATGAGTTGTGTTATGTAGGTGCTCGACAAACATCCATCTCCTGCATCAGCCAGGTGATTCCTGGGTTCTGAATTGGTCATATCCTCTAGATAAGCCATCGACACCCTCATTTTGAAGGGCATCTCTTCCGCCGCTATTTCCCGACCCGGTGGCTACTCGTATCGTTTGCTTCGCTTCGGAGAATCCAGCCTCGAGGATATGGCTGTGATGTTGAGGCGTAATTTTGAGGAACAGGGGTAGAGGAAACGGTTGATTTCAGTTGTGAGTCGGGAATCGATTTGCATTGGTGTTGGGTAGTTGGAGAACATTAAACAAGGATCGACGGATGGAGCTCGTCACGTCCAAGCTCGAGATCATGTCATCATTCGTCAAAAAAAAGTCTCTCGCGCCCCAGGCGAGAGGTAAGGTATCATAGCTTCGTCAATGTCGCTTTGCGCAAGACACCATCTATCCGACGCCGAAGAAAGAAAAAAACAAGGCCGTATGCTTTTTAGTCGAACTGTCGTTTCGTCGAATCTGGAGGCGGGACATGGTTGGACGCGGGATTTCAAGGAGCGTGGGGGGAGAGGTGATGTTGGGGACAAAGAGCCAGGACGCCGCAGCATCAGCGTCTTATTCGGAGGAGACCTGCTGTCTGCGTCCTTTCTCCGCCTCCAGGTTTTCGTAAAGGAGGTACAAGGCACGTTCGTTGGCACTGGCGCTTCCCATAATGGTGAACATCCGCTCGCCGGTGTCGTCGTGTGGTGCTTTGGCAATGGAAATGCGGGCCCCAGAACTCTTGCGAATCTCGCTAATCTTTGCTCCTCCTCTTCCAATAATACAGCCGACCATATCGGCGGGGATGCTGATATTCTGGGTCTGAACTTCTTCTCCGTCCTCCGTGACCATTGGAATACCGCCGCTTCGTGGCGCATCAGCGGCACTGCGGTTGTACGTACGCGTCTCACTGAAGTCCGCGCCGTTGCCAGTGCGATTGTAGGACCGGGGGCCACCAAAGTTGCCGCCTGACATTCCCCCGGTGCCAACAGCAGGAGGAAGAGGACCAGACCCAACTTGAACCCGAACCGCCGGATTGTAGAGGACCGTCCCAGTGCCACGCTGCCAATCATCCACCAAGCATTTACCGATTTCCCAGACAGCTTTATCGATGCCCTCAGGAGTGCCTTGGACTTCGACTATGCGCTCGGTCGATTGTGGAAGCATCTCTTTCTGCGCAACCATACGAACTCCCGAGACGTCTTGGATATGCTTGATCTTCAAACCTTGTCGGCCAATAATGGTGCCCATTTGGTTATGGGAAATGAGGAGACGAATGGCTGAGGGAAGAGTTAGCGAAGCTCGAGTAGGCATCAAAGAAACTGCTTACGATGCGTGCCGTTATTCTGAATGACGCCCCCCATGCCCATCTGTGGAGCGCCTTCAAGAAGGCCCTTGGCCACGAGCGAATATGCCTTTGCGATGCCCGATAGCGGACCCGTGACTGTTAAGACGCGATCGTGAACACCTTGGACAACTTTGCTGACGCCAGCTTTGACACCGGTTTCTTCTCGCAAATCAGCAACATTTTTCCCCGCTTTGCCGATAATGACACCAGCTTCCTTGGTGGATACAATAGCACGTAGAGTCAACTGGGATTGCGCATATTCCTCTTCGGTCTTCGGAGTATCGTTCTGCGGATCTCCAACATTGAGCTGGGACAAAGAATCGGCAACACCAGGCTCATCAATGTGGTTTGCAGATGCAACAGGCTCGGTAGAGGCCATTGTGACGTCTATTGGGAGGTTATCGAGAGGAGTGTCGAAGTTGAAGATAATAGCGAATTTACTCGAGGCTCGGCTGCGAGTGGGGGTGCGACTGCAGATCGACAAGGTGCGAGCAAGGAGGTCCAAAGCTTGCGGGCACGGCTGGGATGGAGGGAGAATGGAGGGGGAGGAGTTGAGGAATACGATGAGGTGAGAGGATGGGGGGAATGAGGTAGAGAAGAGGGCGAGGATGAGGTGCGAAGTAACGGTGATTCGAGATGTGGGTAGTAGTGTTGGTGTTTGAGGGAGCAGCAGGTTTTGAGAAACAAACGAAATAGGTGTGGAAAAAGCTGGAGGCGACGAAGCACAACCCCCTTGAAGCGGCGAATGTGCAGTGGCAGTGAAGAGCAGTGTGAGGGCTCGTCTCTCATAGGTCAACGAGTCACTGGCACGGCAACAGCAACTAGGTAGGCACTTAGTACTTACATAGTACTTGCTATTCTCGCTCCTGCTCCCAGCCTCTCTGCCTTTGGCCTCTGGGCCCGGACGGCTTGGCCCTCAGGTGCTCACTCGGCTTCAAGGCCAAACAACTAGTGTTTACTTGTACCGAGTACCTCGTACTTGGTACATCATAATTCGATACCTCCCCTCCATCTCGGCGAAAACACTACGAAATAGCTACTTAACCATCAGGCAAAGCAGATACGTACGAATAGCCATCCAGGGAATTCACCTCGAACTCTTAGAACCAAGCATCACAGCCTATTTTCACGCCCATCACTCCACATCTCTCAGATTTAACAAACCGGACCTGAGCCTCACCACAACCCCCACAGAGAGTGCCTGACCGTCGAGCGTACCTGGTAGCCTAGACCATCTTGCTTGGTCTACCAACGACCAATATGAAGTTGACCATGTCATTAATACTTGGTATTGTCATCGGCTTCAACAATCACAGTGACCACCACATGCGCAGGGAAACGTCTTTGACCCACCAAGAGGCATGCAGCCACGATGTCAATGCGTAGTACTTAGTGTACGTGAATCTTTTTGATCTCGAGAAACATGGGGACTCGTAGGAGGTTCAAAAGGTTGAGATCCAGTCTGCATTAGCCAGAACCATCCGCCAGGAATGCAATATCTCTTCAAGCACGCCTTTCTAGTGACGGTAACCAGGCAAGTCTTCCTGGCCGCTCATTTGTCTGCCTCAAAAACCACCTTTTGAACCCTCATATTGTTGAACTCATCGTACCACTTGACAGCTTCTGAGAGAGGCTTGATATTGTCGGTCATGAAATCCAGCTGATCCTGCTTCTTCACAAGCATGTCCAAGGCGTCTTGAAATAGACTTCTGACCGGACATCTGCCCATCTGAATTCTCAAGTTCTTCCCATATGCTTGATTGCCTGTCCATGGAATCTCTCCGTTGTGGACACCAATGCTAGAAATGTTTCCCCATGGCCTCAGAAGATCAAAGGCCAGGGCTAATGCACTGCTTTGACCAACCAGCTCGATTGCAGTGTCTGCTCCCCTTCCGTCCGAAAGTTCCAGCACTCGCTTTTTCAACCCGTCCATATCCTTCTGGTAGTTCCATGGTTCGGCGCCGAGCTTTCTTGCCTGTTCCAAACGAGCATCGACGCCGTCGATGGCTAGGACTGCCTTGGGTTTGTACTCGAGGGCGCAAACAAGCGAACAAAGTCCGACTGGTCCACACCCAATCAGAAGCACGACGCTCTGTGATATTACCTCCTGGTCCAGTCCCCGAAATGCATTTGCAGAGGCAAAATACCCAGTCGGGAAGATGTCGGCCATTAGCACAAGCTTGTTCTCCTGAATACTTGCTGGTGCCTTGACGACCGTGCTATCTGCTAGCGGGATTCGACAGTATTCCGCTTGCCCGCCATCGAGGGTCGCTGATCCGAATAGTTGGCTCTTTTCGCAGCGTGATGAGAAACCTCCCTTGCAGTAAAAGCATTCTCCACAGCTAGCGGTGAAGGGTGTGACGATCTTATCGCCCTTTTTAACCGATTTTACTTCAGAACCCGTCTCAACAACCTCTCCTGTAAACTCGTGGCCCATGATGAAACCGGTTCCAGACGGCTGATGGCCTCGAAAGACATGGAGCTCACTTTTTGAGCGTCAGTGCATATAAGACGGCGGAAATTTGGATGCATACCTGCCACAAAGCGCAGTGTATCTGACTTTGACGATGATGTCTTTGGGATCTTGAATCTTCGGAATCGGCCTATCTTCAACTGCTACTTGCAGCTTACCCTTGAAGACAACAGCCTTCATTGTCTCCCTTGCGGCCATGATGCGCTGTACTTTGGTCTAGTCTCTGTATTTAATAATCTGTATGAATGTTTGACTCGGTTGGTAGGGCGAGCTGTTGCGGGGTGCAAAGACTTTGTATGTTCTGGACTCTGAAGTCAGAGGTGCTCCTGTGGACGTATACCTTATATGTATGTCTGACTATCATCTAGGTTCATATCCAATCCATCCTCACAGGGCGTATCCCACGGAAATGTGGATGGCCCGAGAATGGGCGAACGCCCCAAACGGACATTCGGCCGTTCTGTGGATCTTGCCATCGGTGGTAACACCTGGCTTTCCACGACCATTTCTTATTGTGGCGACTCCGATAATTGTAACGTCTGGGTAGAGAGCATGGCTGGGTAAATACTTGAGATAGGGAAAGGCCGGCCAATGCTGAGAACTTGTCCGCAGCCTTAAGACACACGTGTCCAATGAAGGGGTTGGAAAGCGTTTCCGAATGCGCACCTCCTTCGGCGGCACGAGTATCTATCCATCTCTCACTACAGGCGGGAATCGAGTTCCGGCGGAATTAATATGAGCTTGAGCTCTTAACAAGATGGCTGCTTGGGAATTGAGAATAAACAAGGTGGGAAGTCGGCGGGATTGCCCGATCACACAGACTGCGTCCCACATATGCATGGGCCATCGCGGAGAAGCAGAGCGGTATCGCTCGTTCATCGCTCTAGTCAATATCCTTTATACCAAACCTAAAAGACCCGAACTGGTCCTTTCCATGTTCAAAGCGACAAGATGGTCAACTCCAATGGTGCCACCAACGGCACATACTTGTAATGTCAAAGAACTCCTTACCCATCCCCAAGATGCTCCATGTACCCCATGGTATGCCGCTTCTTTCAAGTCACCGTGCAAAGCAGTTCACTTTCCAGTATGAATTTGCCCTCCTTGTACTTTTCTGCCGCCTCGTATGCCTTGTCGTATTTCCAACCCACTGTCTCATCACACTGCTTGCACTTGATATCTCTCACGATATGTCTTCCGGTGGTCATATTGCGTTCCATAGCCTCGGCCTGCTTGATATTGACGACCGTCGAGAACAGAAAGGCCTTCCCATGCTGGCCGCGGAAATTGCGCGAAATTATGTCGTCGAAGTCAGCGAGGTGTGTCTTGCAGTTCTGGGGGCGTTGGCAGATTCCCGTTAGCAGGAGAAAGACAACGGGGTATACGTGGGAAGGGAGGACATACCTTGCAGCCAAAGATTTTAGCAGAGTTGAGGTAGACGTTATACGCAAGACCCATTTTGCTCAGAACCTGTCTCTCTGGCTACAACGTCGATGCGGTTGAGGCCAGAGATCGCAAGTCTCCGCCACCAGGTTGCAGTCTCCCTCTTCGGTTCGCAGAATTGTATGTAGAAGTCTTCCCGCCACCCCCTTGGTTTGGGGGTTGCTCTTAACACTCTCGTCGTAGTTCGAGATCAACGGGTCGATGGTAGTGCTCGTGTTCGGCGGAGGGAATGGTCAAGTGGGCGTCGTCAGGAGGAGGCCTAGAGAGACGAGTGGGAGGGGAGGGTTGGACACGCAGGGGTTCACGGACCGAGAGTGGCTCGTGGATGTCGAGGGAATAAACTGTGTAACCAATGAACTGAGCACCGTACCGCAGTGACGCGGGCTTCGATAGATATCTTTGTATAGTTCAGACTGGTATTCTAGGAGAATAAGTTGCACAACAAAAGGCACATGCAGTGATGGTGGATGGGCATCGATGCTACAGTTAGAAGCCGACACCCGCTAGAGTTCACCACTACCGTCCATTCGTGTTCTGTCCACCCCACCTAGAGTGGGTAAGTGTTGTGATCGTCGACTACAAATACCTCGTACCTAGAAGTCCTTTCGATAAAAAATGCGGGCACAGCTGCAAGCATGTGTCTTCTTGAGTAATATACTTGCCCAATAATAAGTCACATTTGACACAAGACGATGCACGGGATACTCTCTCTATAATCCTTCAAGAGAGCTGGCACTCGTGACTTGGCGTCAAGCTTGAGCATTTATCCATTTATCGATAGCGGCTGAACTTCGGTGAGAAATGTTGGAGCAGCCACCAAGCCACATATTGCAATAGGTACCTGATAGGGTGTATTATTGCATTCCGGGAGCTATAGGGCGTAACGGGGCTACACAGGAAGGGGTTTTCAGGCATGGGTATGCGGGGGTTTACAGGAGGGCTAGTATCTTCTGTGTCGTCGGTGGGTGCAATGTCACTTTTTCGCGGCTTGTTCGTGTTCTCTTCTCCAGGTGGTCGTCTTTAGAAGCACAATTTTTGGCACAAGATGTCGTGGTCGTTGTCTCGATACAATAATATAGTTCACTATGTTCATTGCTTGATGGTATGACTGTAGTCAGTGATGTGAGGGAGGTGAATGCACATGTCGAGTGAAAGCCAGAGAACCTGCCTGCTGTCCAGGCAGTGAGGAAATGGGAAATGCAATTGCCAGGAACTTTTTTCACTTTCTTGTCATTGTTCGGCCCGCATTCCGCTCTCACTGTCCTGAAACCAACCCTGTTCATTGAACATCTTTTGACTGCCACAGAAAGGACACTTCTAGATGTTGTAAGATTCTAATTCTGTCAAGGATTCCGCCAGCATGGCTTGGTTGCTGTCTCGCAATGTGTGCGACGTACTCTCACCAGAAACTATGGTGTGGTCTCTTCCTGATGGAGACTGTTGGTTCTGTCCATTTCCAAGAAATGAACCATTGGGACGGAACAACACGAAGCGCCAGGTTACCCTCTCAGCTCCTTCATCGAACCATAGGCAGGAATTGAGGCATCAGGACGTCAAGATCGATTTGGGTGAAGTTTGGTTTCCACAGATGGTGTGCTCCATCCACTCCCTTGCAAAGAGACTCTGATCTGATATCAAGCTAGTCTCCTAAAGCCACTTTGAGGCCCAAGTCACTATCAACCTTCGAATGTCTTCCACCTTGCGTCCTGACCAGCATCTTCAAAAACATCTCCTGTAAAGCGAATATGATCAGCCTCGCCCTCACGTCCAAGGCCATGGCTGCACATGTTGCGCCGTTCATCAAACAGCCTCGATGGACATGTCCTGGGGATAGCGAGACCCATATGACACTAATGTCGAGGCTTGCGTCATGGATGCCTCAAAATTATCTCTTCTGCCATCACTGTCTCCTCTACCGTTCAGCAATCAATTTCGAATCGCCTACCACCTGGTCGTCAAACGAGTCGCAAGTGTGCGCCCGGTCTGAATTCACCATTGATCAAGGCATGGAGTACCACGGTAGTAAGAGAGAGCGACGAGAAGACTCCTTGAGCAGCATTTCCATTCGCACTTGTTTCGACTGCCATAGGACAATGGACTCCAGCAAGACCCATCGGGCACATAGTCTTTGCGAGTGCGGAGACATAGATATGCCGAATCTGGACTGTGACGGGTGCGAGGCTTTCCGCTGGACACAACGTGAGATGAAAGTAAAATTTGCCAAGTATGAAGTTGACGAGCCGCGCCCTGCTGCACCCGGGCCCTGCCAGATCTGGGATAAGGCCGATTGCTGCGGGATATAGATCCGCACTTTGACACCAAGACAGAATTCCGGAAGTCTGTCGAGGCAAGAGTCGGTTCCAGCACACTATCAGGACGAGTTTCGGGCTCAACGGTGTTTGAGCATATCCTTGTACGAATACCAGAAGTCGAAGCAATCCTTGTGGCCCCAATGTTCAACCCAGAACTCACCGAAAATGTCATCCACGTCGGCATCAACGTCCTTCAATCTTTCTGTACGTTTCAATGCGCAAAGGGCGCATGGCTTTGACATATCAGGAAGATGAGTCGTTCCCAACCTCTTGATAGGAGGGGTAGCTGACAATCTCATCCGGCTTGGGCGAACTTCAGCTTGAGCGAGGATGCTGTTGAATTCATGGAGGTAGCTTGACCAATCCCGAATCATTTCTTCAGTCTCTCGTTCTTCCTTAGTCGTTTCACTTTTGTTTACTGCTGCTAGTTTCATTCCACCACTCTTTCCTGATTGACCTATCCTCACACTCTGGGCTAAGACGGTGTCCCGCTTCCACCGTAGCGTCCTGCCCGCGACTATGCGGCTAGAAACTCGAAAGACGAGCAGCACATTCGATGCCAATTCGGATTTTAACGACACACTATCGGCATTGCTCTCGTGTATTGAGCCAAAGACTGACGAGAGCAACTGTAGAAGCGAAGATGGCGGTGGGACATTGCTCGGCCGTTCGTATGTCAATGTTTGATCACGGGATTGAGTCTCGGTCTCACAGGCATCATCTTTTCTCGTTGTAGGTGGCTGTGGGTATATAGTCTGCTGCATTGAGGAAGGCACACTATCCTCGATAGGCTCCCAGTCATCATCGGAAGGCTGAGCCTTCATTTCCGTGGTCAAAGGTGGTAGCGGCTGAGACTCGGTCTCTTCAAAGTCGCCCCAATCATCGTCCCACAAAGGTCGTTTCCCAATTTCTGTTGGTTCTGTGCCACTGAGAGTACGCTGAGCACCTAAGGTCTGCGAGACTTTGGTTTCCGGATGTGATGGATTGTCAAGCAACCCAATGGTATCTGGAAGGTCCAAAATTAAAGGTTCTGGATCAATGGCCTTGGTAGACATAACTCCCCCATGCCTCAAGGGATCAGCCAGTCCGGTCTTGTTCTGATCGGTCGTGGGGTCCCCTGCCGTCTCAAAGTCTCCAAATTCGTCTCCTACGTCAGTTTGTTCGGCATCGAAGAGGATATCTCTTCCACCAGTATCTCGCTGCCAAAGTGGTGAAGATACATTCTGTCGCTGAACTCCGTGGACAGATTCTGTGCTACGAGGTGGGGATGGATTGTTGGTTACACTTGCTCGTTTGTCATTTGTCTGTTCCGGCTTCGATGGTGTTTCCTCGACCAAAAACGCTGCGTACAGGTCGGCAGACATTGTTTGCTGACCGCATGATAGATCAGCGCTGGTCACTGGTCAGTCATTTGTCGGTGGCAGCAACACAAGATGTAGCCAG